CTCTGTGTGCAAAGGTTTTGCAACTGTTTCAGCTGTGACCAGAGTGAAGGGGACCAGATCCCATCATTCCCCATGCTGCTTCATTCCTCTGGTTGCAGTTTTGCTGACACCCTCAGCCGGGCACGGACCCTTTGGGGGTTGACCTGGGTGCCTGGAGATGAGCTGAATAGTCATTTATTGAGGGTGCCCGGGAGGGCAGAAATGGGTCTCCAGGAGGTGCCAGGGAATAAGGGGTATGTCGTGTTCACTGCTGAGAAAAAAAGGCAAAAAAAAGAAAAAGAAAAAAAATAGTTTCTCACTTAACTGAGGCAAAATAGCCAAAATCCGGTTTTAGCATAGGATGTTTTGTGTGCAAAGTCTTTTTTTTTTTTTTAAGTTTATTTAGTTATTGAGAGAGAGAGAGGGCAGGATAGGGGCAGAGAGAGAGGAGAGAGAGAATCCCAAGCAGGAGCTGCACTGTCGGTACAAAACCCGATGCAGGGCTCGAACTCACGAACTGTGAGACCTGATCAGGACCTGAGCCAAGATCGAGAGTCGGACGCTTAACCGACTGAGCCACACAGGCTCCCCATCTGTGGGCAAAGTATTTATTCTGCGTCTTTATTCTGAAACCGATGAAGACACCTCGTCAGTCATGGCCTGAGCCAGGAATTCACAGGGGTTCCACATGACAGACGAGGAAAGTGGCTTTGGCAATGGTAAGAATCTTTCAACAAGGAGCGATGAAAACCATCTGTGGTTGGGTTTTCTCTCACTCAGAAGATAGGTGTATACAGCAGGAGAGGACCCAACTGCCCAAGACGTACGGGCAAGTCTCCGGGTGCAATCCTTGGTCGTGACCCAGGAATCGCAGCAGGCTGTAACCCTCACGATGTAGCCTGAACTTGCCCATGACCACCTGGAGCAACTCGCTGAGGTTGACAGGGGCTTGACAGGCTGACTGTCATGGTTAGGACGGAGGGCTCAGCAATGAAGCTGTCTCTGTTCGGCATTCTGACCCTCCGTTATGCAGCTATGTGATTTCAGGCCAGTGACTTATCCTCTGCCTTTTCAGTGCTTCATTTGTAAAATGGAGAAGGCTTAGCTTTTGAGATGGCTGTTAAGAATGAGATTGCACATGACGGGCTTGGCACAGAGCCTGGAGCCTGCTAAATGTTCAATACGTGTTATATAGCGTCATCATTACTGTTCTGTTATTATTACCCGAGGGCCTTGCATTCCCCTTAGCCCCAGCCCACGGAAATCAGGTGACAACAGGAAGGAGCCCACAGCTCTGTTGGTATTAGAAGGAGCTGGCCACATCCAGCGGGAGCCAAGTGACTCTAAGGTTGGGGGGCTCCCAAGGGACCGCTGGAGAAGTCGCCTAGCTTCCCAGAATCAGGCCACTTGTCTGGGGAACATAAGACGGCAAACATTAAACTGGACCCAAAGCAGATAATGTGTGTCTGTCACCCTCCTGAGCTGTGAGACGTCAACAGAAGGTCAATGAGCACCAACCAACTGTTGAAGCTTCTCCTTTAATGGTGGAGCCCCGTGCGGGCTCGCTGGCAAAACGAGGTCGTTTCCTGATTTCGCAAAGGAGTCGTGTGGATGCCCTTTGTTAGGAGCAGTTGAGTGCACAGTGAAGAGTCTTCCCGTGTTAGTAAGACACGGCCAAGTCCCCCAGGCATGAGGGGGGTGCATCTGACCCGCAAACTGGATTTTGGCGGGTGAACTGATGTTTGAAGGTGGTGAAGGTTTGTTGAACCGAAGGGTGAGTGGGTTAAGGAGTTAGACACTGTGTGGTGTGGTACCATCCAAGGAATTTCTGGGAGTCCCCAGAAGTCCCCCAATCGCTGGATGATGGAACCGGGGGAGGGTCTCGGTAGCGGAGGAGATATTATTTAGGAGGGCACTTTTCACCATTCAGCTCTGCGTAAGTTCGGAGGTGGTGATGCTATCTCCCAAGAAGTTCATAAGAAAAAGGGCAGACTCCTATGCTTTTGATCAGGTTAGGGCTCCCAGAATCAGGTCAAAGTAGATGAGAGAAGGGTGGGAGCTGGCTCATGCTTCAGGGAAACATTTTGCTATGATTTAGACCAGGGGAGGTTGGTTTTGGACAGACCCGGGTTTGATTCCAGCTCTGCCTTTCACCAGATATGTGAGTTTGGGCAAGTTACTTAAACTCTCTAAAGCCTCGCTTTCCTCATCTATAATAATACTACAGATAATAATCGTACCCCAGCAGGGGAATGCTATGAGGAGTAAATGAGATTGCAAGTGTTGTAAGCACTCAGTAAACGTTAGCTGCCATTATTATTATTGGCTAAATGACTGCTATCTAGTGGCCCATCTAGTGTGGAACCTGTCAGACTCTCCCACTTTGCTACTCAAAGCGTGGACGTTCAGCAGTACTGACATCAACCAGAATCCGGCGAGAAACGCAGGCTCTCCGGCCTCGGCCGGAACTACTCAGTCACAATCTGCGTTTTAGCAAGATCCCCAGCTGATTGACATGCCCATTATAGTTTGAGAAGCTCTGGCCTGGAAGAGGTGAGAAGATCCTCGTGAAAGCCATAAAACAGGCGAGGCACGGCCGAGAGCGAGCCTGGAAAAGCAGACATTTATCCCTTCCATCCCGTAATGACACTCGTTTCTCGATCTTCCCTTCCAAGCTCCCGGCTGTACCCCTCCAACGCACATTCACAAAACAAAGCTAGCCTTTTATAGCATTTCCAGCGTTGTGATGGGATCCATATACTGGAAATCTCCCAGAGGGGAGATTTGCACGTGTGTGTCGAGACCATCAAGGGCCCCGATAATTCTTTCATGGTGCCTTCTTCGAGGAGAGGGCATCTGAACGTGGCAATGGAGGATAGTCGGGATTTCATTAAGCAGAGCTAGGAGGAAAGGGCATTCCTGAGAGACGAAAGACACAAGCGAAGGCAAGAGGCAGGGAAATTCAGGGCGGTTCCCTGAACTCCTAACTGATTAGGCTTGATCAGAACAGGGAGTGGGTGATGACAATGAGAACAGTTTTAAGTAAGACTGGAAAGATGTGACATCCGGGTCACAGAGGATCTTAATACCCTTTCAGGATCTGGGGTTTTATTCTGAAGGCTGGAGGCAGCCACCAAATGCGTTTATGGCACATGTCTGTGCGTTCTCCTTGCGCAAAAATCCAGCTGCGGAGAGAGGGGGATCCGTTGGAGGTGGTCTCGGGGTCTTTTCAGCGCTGGAGTTCTTGTCCTTCAGAAAGAGCGGAAGGTGGAGCTTGAGACCCTTGAACACGTTTAGTGAAATCACGGTCAGGTTAGTGCTTCTACCAATGGCCCAACGTTGCTGACTTGGTCGTTTTATGGACAGTGTTAATTGCATGGTCATCCAAGGTCTACACTCAGTTCACCTGCATTTGCATCATTCGGGTATGATGCACCACCATGTCCGTGCCCCTTTGAATTAAATCTGTGGACACGGATTCACTACATTCATCTGGACTGAAATTGGACCTCTGAAGACTTCCGTCTGGGGAGGTGATCTCTGAATATTGCTTAATCTGCCTAGGAGATGACCCGCTTTAGAGATGAGCACATTTAGAAGACCTTGGAATCCCTCTCATTAGGGGGATGGGGTGGGCACCAGAGACTGGCCCGTGTGCTGCTGATTTATGGCATAATCTCTCAAAACCTATTTCAGGTCCTGTCTCTTTTGCCTATCAACGGGCAGGCAGGATGGCACCAACGCTTTCATAAAACCGAGACGGTTTATAGCTGCCATTTCCTCTCTGCCCCTGCGATCTTTCAGAGAAAATAAATCAATAGGTCCTACCCCCCACTTCACCAAGCCCAGCTGGTCGCTTCCTAGCAACTCGTATCCTCTTGCGGGATTCATCCGAGCATCTTCTTCGATAATGGGGCTGATCGTCTATAGTTACCAGAAGTCATCTTGGATTCCTTTGAGAAAGATGAGCAGGCCATGTCTTTCTTTTAATTCTTTTCTCTTTAATGCTTATTTATTTTTGAGAGAGAAAGAGCGAGTGTGCATGAGTGCGGGAGGGGCAGAGGGAGAGGGACAGAGAAAATCCTAAGCAGGCTCCCCACTGTCAGCTCAGAGCCCGATGCAGGGTTCAAACTCACAAACCATGAGCTCGTGACCTGGGCCAAGATCAAGAGTCAGATGCTTAACAGACCGACGCCCCCCCCCCCCCCCCCCGGTGCCCCTTCTTTTTTAATTCTTAGTGAATCAAGCTCCCCACCCTACCCTACCCATGTCTGCCACTGCCAGGATCCCGGGGTTTATGTACGGGAGACATAAATGAGCTCACTCCATCCCCGTGCGCTGGATGCTTGTGTCCATCGTTCCGAGCATAACCTTGGTAGTTTGCATCGGACTCTTAAAGGAGACTTTTTACTAAAGCCAGGGAAAGAGCCACTAGAGAGAACACACGGCCTCTGTTACTTCAGCCCAACCTTTATTGTCACCCTAACCTACCTTCGGAAATGGAGATGGTCAGAATGGTAATTTGCCATAAATGACTCTAAGACTGGGTTGTGCAACTCTCAGGCTCCTTCGGCGTACATAAGCCCAGAAGTGTGATTCCGGGGCCCCAAACGTACGCTGTTTCTGTTTCATTCTTTTGTTTCAGAACATATTTTTTTTAACTGTTTACTTATTTTTGAGAGAGAGAGAGAGAAAGACAGAGTGCGAGTGGGGGAGGAACAGAGAGAGAGAGGGAGACACAGAATCTGAATCTGAAACAGGCTCCAGGCTCTGAGCTGTCAGCACAGAGCCCGACGCGGGGCTCGAACTCACGAACCGTGAGATCATGACCCGAGCCGGAGTCGGACGCTCAGTCGACTGGGCCACCCAGGCGCCCCTCGCCCGGTGATTCTAATGTGCAAGCGGGGCTGGGAGCCGCCGGTGTCATCCAGCGGGAATTGGCCAAGGGTGTTAGGATGCTGCGGGACCAGGCTGAGGTTTTGGCACCCCCCACAGGGTAACCATTTCCCTTCTCTCCCCAGATGGTGCTTCTGGCCAGGTGCGAGGGGCACTGCAGCCAGGCGTCACGCTCGGAGCCCCTGGTGTCCTTCAGCACTGTCCTCAAGCAGCCCTTCCGCTCCTCCTGTCACTGCTGCCGGCCCCAGACCTCCAAGCTAAAAGCACTGCGGTTGCGCTGCTCCGGGGGCATGAGGCTCACAGCCACCTACCGGTACATCCTCTCCTGTCACTGCGAGGAGTGCGGCTCCTGAGACCGGCCGCTCAGCGGCTTCTGGACGGGACATCCTCCTCCCTCGCCGAGGCAGATCATCCAGCCAGGGAGAAGGACTGGCAAGAAAAGAGTTAAGGAGGAAAAAAACCCCAAAAGATGCAGCAATTCCCACGGGATTCTGCATGTTCTAGTAATAAAGACTCTCCATGCTTGTTGCAGAGAGACAGAGAGAGAGAGAGAGAGAGAGAGAGAGAGATGCTCTGGGAACTTGGTTTCCATCCCCGTCTCCTTTCCCTGGTACAATTTCTTTCGGTTCCTTTTCAGATTCAGGCATCCCCCCACCCCCCCTCCCCCTGCCTTGGCACTGAATGCCGTTTGGGTCTCCAACAATTCAGCGTCAGTCGGGAACGTGGGCCCCCGTGCAAGCGTGGGTCAGGCCGTCACTTGTTGGGTGCGCGTTGGGGGCGCATTCGCCTCGGAAAGCAGGAAAGCACAACCCTTTCCGCGATCCCGCCTGGCTCTCTTTCGCTCCGGTCTTTATCTTGCCATTTGGTCTCAGGTCGCCACCCCTGCTCAAGGTTACCCATTTCAAATTGCAGGCACCGAGCATGTGGATGTGCGTAGCCAGGCTCATTCGCAGCCGGCTAACCAACATTAAAATAGCTAACAAACGGATGCTGGAACTCCCGAGAGCGGTAATTATTGTTCCGAAATAACGCCTGGGAAGTAAAGGTGGCATAAGGAATTCGTCACCCGAAGGCTCTTGCAGATAAATTACGGTAGAATTTTGAAAGGGAGCAGACTCTTAAAGACCTGCACAAATACGGATCCTGCACTGACTTTGAAAAAGGCATACACGTACTAGTGGCATGGAGAACATACTATACTCATGCATGCAAATTAGACAACTCAAGTATGAATCTATTTGTGGGTGTGCTATAGTTTTAGCCATGTTGCGGACATCATTCTCAACCATCCACTTGTCCGTGTGAAGCTTGCTGCCCCGAAGGCAGCCTGACTCATCCTCGGAACATTTGGCTCAAATATATTTTGGTCCTTGAGACTCAAAATTTGAGTTATTCCCATGTTGTGAAATAAAAAGACAGTATCTTCAAGATTTTGACCGTGTTAGTGTTTTTTTCCTACTAAATATCCTACTATAATGCATGCCCGACGGGGTGTGTGTGTGTGTGTGTGTGTGTGTGTGGAAGGAGGTCCAGAAAAAGAGAAAGATAGGGTTCTAGAATGCACGGTGAGAACATTTTTTGAAATTTTGTCATACAAAAGAATTAAATTTAATACCTAAAGTTACAATGGTTATAATCCTTAACTGATTATCCTTAACTATACTCAGGTGATGGAGGCTTAGGGAACTTGGCTTTTAGTTTCAGAAATTAACTTATTGAATCAACATAAAATCTGATGCATTCCGGCTTCTTTGGGCACTATGGAATGAAATAGAGGTCATTTTCTTTAAGTTTATATAGTTATTTTGAGAGAGACAGAGACAGCACCAGCGGAGGAAGGGCAGAGAGAAAGGGAGAGAGAGAGAATCCCAAGCAGGCTCTGCACCATCAGCGTGGAGCCCGACGCAGGACTCGAACTCACCAACTTTGAGATCATGACCTGAGCCAAAATCGAGTCGCTTAACCGACTGAGCCACCCAGGTGCCCCAAAGTCATCTCTTTTTTAATGTTTTCAATTTACTCGGAAAAGAGTAAGTATCCATAAATGAAGTCCGAAGAGCCAGGACAACAAATAATTCACCCACCATGGTTTCTGTGCCTTTGACTGTCCGGGGCCCTAGGTCCGATTATACTCCTGAGCATTATGAGAATTATCGCGGCGCTTTAGGCGCCACAACACTACCCCAGACTGGCGACTCAGTTTCCAGGGCAACCTTGACACTGAGCTGTCTTGGTTCACCAGGGATAACGGTGCACCCCACTGTTAGTGCAGCCATCTTGTGAATTGCTTTTCCTTTGTACACTCTCTGGGCATAGCTTTCTCACCGTTTTCAGAAAGCCAGCAGGGTTGAATTTGTATTTGTGACCTTGGAACAGAATCAAACGAATGCTATTAAACCTTGACCTTGATCTCAACCTTCCTGGTGACAGAGCCAGGCAGTTGACTGATTAGAGGTCTCCTCATTTTGAAGGCAAATGTGAACTGGTAATTTAGACCATTACGTAAAGAGAAATTTTGTCATAAAAAAAGAATTAAATTTGATACCTAAAGTTACATGGTTATAATCCTTAACTGACAATGAAAGTATTAGCTGCAGGTCACATTTATAGCTATATTCTTTCATGTTGCTAATCAAAAAGCGCAAATAATGCATCTAGCCTTAAAAAATCTCTTCCCGGCTTTGAAAATTCAATTTGCTTTGAGCGTCATATGCCCCCAACTCTAGTTTTTGTTTCCTTACTACCAATTTGGGACTAGAGGGGGCAGTTGTGTGACTCATGTTTTCCAAATTCCCCAGAAGCCATTGAAAATGTTCCCTTCAAATCCCATTACATAGCCTATTGTCAAAGCTTCCCCCATGGAAATGAGCAGACTATGCTCGAAACACTAGAGAAGCAAAGAACAGTGGCATTGAGAGAGCCATGAAAGACCACCCATCCTCTTCTCTCCCTAAACACGAGCAAATGGAGACCCGCAGAAAGCCAGGAACTCACCCAGTTGCCCAAAGAGTGAGAGACACAGAGTGAAGTTTAATGGGGCATATCAAGGCTGAGAAAGAGGAAAAAGAATGATATTTTCCCTAAAGACCTCAAAATAGCCCTGGGAACGGAGAGAAGTTGGACATTATTGGATATTGAGTTACTATGGAATTTGTATTATGTCTTTAAAAAATCAAACATATTTAGCCTTGTTTTAATGTCTACCCCTAAGGATTGAGAGAAAACCAAATGAAAACATTGATCAGTTAAAAACATTACCCCTGGAATGCCTGAGAAATGTTCACCCACCTTCCCCATTTGCTATGCATGAATAAAGGGAGATCAAAGTATGTTATGATCTTAGTAGCATACATCTTCAGAATCTGCATGAGAATCCATGATGGTGGAGGGCAAGACTCTGGTAAGCCGATTTTACCCTCACCATTTATAAGCATTTATTAATGGTGAGTTAACACCGCCCTGGAAGATAGAGGGGATTATGGACCGAATTGATTTTCTTGAGTTTCCCAGACCAATCTCTTGAGCCTTATTCATGTAAGCTTCTGAACTTTCCCCAGAAGCTTAGAATGAAGGACAAATGAGCCCTTCTTGGCCCTAAGGAAATAATGGTTGATTTTTTTTTTTTTCTAAATTCAAGTGCTTGTTAATCCAGCCAACGCAGTATTTTGTATTAGGCAGGGCGGGCGGCATCCACATTATGACTGGGTAACTGAGTATGTTCATTTCTTCCTTGGGACGTTGGAGGAATTAAGGTCCAGACATGCTTTAGGCCACTTCTTCAGGCCCTGCTGAAACAGACACGCTTGAGCAAGAGGGCCGACCAATATGGAGCACCAAATGCACGGGGGTCAGGTGGTTGGGAAGGCTTATATCCGAAAGGCAAGCCATATCCTGCTGACGCTGTCCTCTTCAGGACCCCAGGGCGCAGTCACATCATGGTGGATAGACATGGCCATTCCCTCCAGGAACTGGAACAGTGGAGACACTCAGATCTGGGAAGAGAGGTCCTGCCCGTAGCTGTATCATTACACGTTGGGAGCAGCGTTTTGCCTAGTAATGCCTGTGTCAATGCACAAACGGGTACCCAGCAACTACATGCCGAAGGATGGTGTTTCATGGGAGAATGATAATCACATGCCAACAAATCAATACCTTCCTTTTAAGTCTTCACTACGTTAATGAAATGTTTCGGTACGTTCTCCCCTAAATCTGTAAGGGCATAGGCCTTTTCTGTAATTCAATTAGGAATGTATAATTCCAGGGGTGCCTGGGTGGCTCTGTCAGTTAAGCATCCGACTCTTGATTTCAGCTCAGGTCAGGATCTCACAGTTCGTGAGTTCGAACCCTGCGTCGGGCTCAGTGCTGGCATCGTGGAGCCTGCTTCGGATCCTCTCTCTCTCAAAAGTAAATAAGTAAACATTTTTTTTT